TCATGCGTGCAGATGTGTACACATAGATACATGCAGGCATGCATACATACATATATACATATATGCATACATACAAACATACATACATACATACATACATACATACATACATACATACAAACACACATACATACATACATAGATACATACATAGATACATACACACATACATACATACGTAGATACATACGTAGATACATACGTACATACGTACATACGTACATACATACATGCATACGTACACATATACAGATTCCTTACATATGCATATACATATACATATAAACAATATATACATACATACATATATATATACACACATACATACATATGAGAGAGACAGAGGCCCCTTCAGGGTCTGTTTGACGCCGTGTTTAAATTCATGTTTCATCATATAGGCCAAGAAACTGAAAGACTTGAATACTCGAAGTAATTGAATCACCGCCCGATTTAACTGTTTCTAGTATTTCGATTCTTTGGCCCTCCAAATTTGGAAAATAGTCGAAATAATGAAATCGGCCCCTGATTTAATTATTGCGATTATTTCGATTATTTACATGGTGGGGAGACCTTTGGAACAGGACCCACTCGAGGGTTGATTTAATTATTTTGATTATTTGGGGTCCCAAATAAATAAAGAATCGAAGTAAGCAAATCACCCCTGATGTAGCCCCTAAGGCAGATTCCCGATGATTTTAATCGTAGAAATAATCGAGATAATTGAATCACCAGCCGATTTAATTATTTCGAGTATCTCGATTCTCTGGCCTTCGGTTTTTCGAAAACTGTCGAAATAATTAAATCAGCACCTGATTCAATTATTTCTACTATTGCGATTAGTTAAATGGTGTGGAAACCTCTGGAAGAGGACAACCCGAGGGTTGATTTAATCATTTCGATTATTTGGGAACCCAAATAGTTCTAACCAAAATATTTGAATCAACGCTTGATTCGATTATTCCACCCTTCCTCCACCCACTCCCACCCCTCCTCCCCCCGCCCACCACCACCCCCACACCCACAAATTTGGAACGACAAAGACCAACTCAGTGGAACGACAACGACCAACAGACACAGAAACATAGAATGTATACAGCTTCAAGTACAAATCTTGCAAACAACACATACAATAATCTACGCTAGACAACACTTGATAAACACTTAAAGAAAGTAATATTTGTTTTTGGCATACGAATGCAACATCCACGAATTCTATGTATGACCATAATGACCATGACCAACCTGTTAGATTACATGCTGTACCCGACCGCTTGCTTGTGATTCGATCAATGCTTCTTGTTGCTAACCATCCATTTCCGGTTACATGAAAGGCAACGAACGGGATATCATATAAGATGTTTGACACATCAGGGATGGATGCCGTTAGCCAGGCCAAGCTCCTGAAAGATATGGATGGATATTCGATATTAAACAACATATCACAGTCGGTCCAAAGATTCTTGGATTTCGGTTTGTGCAATGTACCAGTTAGCCACATACGATTTAGCTAGGCATTGGAAATTGTACATATCCAAAGCTGCTTAAATAGACCCTAAAGGTATCGGGCTCACATATATATATATATATATGTATGTTGTGTACATACACATATATAACAGACTGTACATGGACTTGCAGGCCGGCCCGAATTCTCGGGCGTAGAGGGTTCTGTGGAGTTGTTTGGCCCTTCGCCCTGTGGCTTCGGATGGGCATCTGGTGCAAGAAGCAGGGAGCCTGCCGACCCTTCGCTGCTTCTTGGCAATATAGGCTTTAGTTTTTATTTGGGGTCAAGGTTCCGGCTGCTCAACCTTCGATATCTCCCATAGCGCATGAAGCGACAATTTTGCAAGGGCCTCGAAGATGTCTCTGCCTGCTATGATGGTTGGAGTTTTGCTACCAGGGCTGTTGACCCTAAATCCCCCACACCCATACCCTGACGGGCAAAGCGAAGTTTGCTCGAGTCACTCTTGTCGTTTGGTGATGTTTTTCTTCTTCCCCGCGGAACTGCTAGTGACTGCTAGTACTTAGAATTAGAAGTATTGTTCTTATCAGCATCTGCATGATTGGAGTTGCGAAGACAACTCTGCTCTGTTTTCACCTCGTGGTGAGACGAGGCTTGCATCAAGAAGCGCCTGCACAAGCGCCGTCCGCCGCTGTCGCGGCCCGGCGAGGATCCGGCACCGGAGGCCGAACCTGCTATCTTCGGGGCCCCTGCCGACCTTTCAGTTGCAACGGGCGTTGCATCCCTTTCTTTTTGTGATGTGTGCTTTGTGTGTTCTGCATGAACCTGATATTAAATGCAAGGTTTCGGAAGATGCAAGATGATGACCAGCATATGTTGAGCTTGTGCTATGAGTGTAACTATGACTGATATGACTGCTGCTACATGTACATCTCCGATCGCTACGGTGTGAGGGCTTGTGGGCGAGGCTGTAATCCCAGACACCAAAATGCATCCGTGGGCTTTGAATGGGGCATATTCTGCAGTTTCCCTCTTAGCATCAATTCGAGAGCTAAAGCAAGTGCTATTCCGTTCTGTTCGGTTTTCCCGACTGAACCTCAAGCAACAAAGTCGGGAAGCATGAGCTACACAAGCTACTTGCCCCCAGACCAAGAACCCTAAACCCTAAACCCAACAAGCAGATAGATGGACAAGAAGATAGAAATTTTACCCGAGAAGCGCCCTAAGAGACCCTGAGGTGCCAGATCTTCCGCCCTATGAGAGGCTTTGGCACAACCGTTGCCGCCGCGAGGTCGGCGGTGGTTTCGCATTCTAGGGGGTCACCTTTGGGGTGATTTTTTATAACAGTTCTGCACCGCTCCCCAATAGGGGGCTGTAAGGGAGCTCTCCCTGGACGGGACTCTAGGAGGTATGGCAAGGGTTTTTCGTAGAGGTTCTATAAGGGGCTCTGTGAGGGCTTCAGTGTCTGAGGTGGTTTCGGGTCTATAGGGCAGTTGAAGCTTTAAGGCTTTAGGTGTCAGGTCCTGTGACTTTTTGACTTTATGGCTTACGGTTTAGGGTTTGAGAAAGACGCACACACAGAAAGAACAGCAGCAAAGATGATAAGGCACCAAAGGCGGAACCAGAGTCGCTAGCAGCGGTCCTGGAGTTTCCAGCTAAGTGGACTTGAGACCGGATCGCCCAAGCTCAAAATTGACTCTGCGCGCCTCAGCGTAAGTCCGAGGCAGCCCCCGATTATAGATATTTGGATACGGTTTACGGTTCTGGATCCTTCTACCTTGCGAAGTCCGAAACGTGCCTCTCAACCCTAAACCCCCAAAGCATGGCGAAGCTTGGCTGGAAGGTCTTGCTTGCACCAGAGCCGTCCCAGAGCCTGGGCGCTTGCGCTTGTGCCCAGACTGCACTTCACTGATCCTGCTGGTTGCACGAATCGTGAGATCCTTGAAAAGACTTAGCAGAAACGGTAATGCTGCTGATGAAAACCACAGCTGACTTATACTACTAGCCAGAACAATCGCCGTAATCACTCAAGCCACAATGGAGCAATGAGAATGACAGCAGCACTCATTAGTCCGAGTGATGCCATTGGCATCAAGACAAACTAGGTAGTCATTGGCGGCTTTGTGCGCGGTTAGGAAACGTTCGATGCTAGTGGTTCAGCAGCTGACAGATAACAGATTAATGGTTGTGGAAAATTTCCCGCAGGTATCTCGGTCATGATCACGATGTTACGAAGCACATGTTACAGAAACCATTCTGTGAGCACTGACGCCACCAGCAACCGTGGCACATGTTCGATCAGCGGATATAGCACAGTACACGCCACGATGCGCATGCATAGTTACTGCACATGACCTCGGCAGTGTTTGTCATAGCAGTAGCAGCCCGCAGCAACATCAGCAAGGTTGGTTGCAACCGCAGCAGCGGCGACAGCAGCAACAAGGATAGCAAAACAACGGCAACAACAGCAGCCAGTCGCCCTCCTGGTGCTGTCTTGTGTCATCAGTACATTGACAGTGGGAGTGCCCACTTAATTGCTATACCGTCCACGTCACTGCTATCCATTTTGGTTTTGGATATTACCGTTGTTAGCTGCTAGATATGACTCGTGCTAGTTGGTTGTGTATTTGAGGGCTTTGGAGTTTGGGACTTTAGGCACTGGCTGCTGCAAGCTGGAGAGCTGCCTGAACGCCGTGATGCTTGTGGAGTGCGGTCCCCACTGCTGCCCTTCGGTTGCATTGCCGCGCTCCAGCTCAGCGATGCCCTCGGGACGATGGCGGGTAGTAATACTAATCACAATAATAACCTGCTGACATTGCAGCCTAGACTCTTGACGTCTGAAAATCGGTTTCCTGACACCTCCGAGAGTCTGACCCTCAACCCCAGTGTCTCAACGCTAAGTCAGTAAGTCCCGATGCCGAGTTCCCAGCCGCTGAGGGTTGACCTTTGACACACTGACACACAGGGGACATACACAGTGATCGAAACAAAAATATCTTCCGGCACTCAGATGAATCCCAAAACACTGGAGGTGGCGTAGAGGAAGCGGAGTGCGAAAACCGCCAGTTCTCCCGGGCGCAGCTGGGCGACTACGAGGATCTTGCAGAGGTCTTCTGGACTGGACCCCTCAAAGGCCACAAGGGCTTCTATCGTTTTCACTGCTGTCGTTGCAGCATCGGTGTTAGGGCTCTGTCTTCTTCTAGCTGACTGCAAGTGCGATGTTCTTCTGGCTGGTGCTCCTTCAGGGGACTTCCAGCGGGTTGACGAATTTCGTGGCCCCGGAAAGGCTTTGGACTGAGGGCACGGCGCACCATCCCGAATGGGCATTTTGTGGCCGAGTATGTCGGGGATATTGTCTCACAAGAGCGCATCTCCAATTGGCAGCGCCTTGGGCTCTCATTGGTTGTCCTGTGAACCATACCTTGTCTCCGTGTTTCACACAGCAGAAGGCATGACAGCCCACGAGAGCATCCCAGGTACGTCATGTCCTTGCCTCATGGTCTGGCGATTGATGCCTCCAAGGCTGGGGGCCCGGCCCGCTTCATCAACCACTCTTGCGAGCCGAACTGCGTCGCCCAGCGCTGGCAAGTTGCTGGCCGCTACCGCGTTGGGGTCTTCGCAGCACGCGAGATTCAGGCCGAGGAAGAGATCACATTCAGCTACTCGAACCTACGCGGGCAATCTTCGTCCTCCGACGCCTGCCATTGCGGCTCTCCTTTGTGCTCCGGGCGCATCTGGCAGCCGCCGAGGAAGGCGCCCAAGAAGACGGCAAAGGCAGGGGTGTTTCAAGCGAGTTCTGGAGTTGTCACTGCAGGCACCTATAACATGCATTAATCATTCATCATTAAAACACAGGACACTTAAGATCGTTAGCCAGGTAAAGGCTGCCGACACTGCTTCGTGCAAGCCGACGAAAAAACGTCGTCAACGAGGTGGCACGTGCGATCTAGCTCCTCCCGGCAACTCAAAGGCATCAGAGGCTGCCGATGTCGAGAACGATGCAGAAGCCCAACAGGTCGAGGATTGCAACCAGGAAGCAACTTCCAGGATAGCGGAAGATGTCAGACAGGCCCAAGTTGGCATACCAGTGGGCAAGACCGTTGAGGCTCACTGGGAGCAGCACGACTGGGAGCTTAGTGAGAAGTTTTGCGAGGCGTTCTTCTCTAACGCAGCTTGGCAAAACTCGCCCAAGGAGGCCAGGCAGATGCTGGAGCAGCAACAGCTCCCATGTGGTAGGGAGCTGGCCGCAGCTTCAGCCCTTGGCCTCTACTTGCCATCAGCCTTGCTCTCGGCGAGGGAGTCACCCCAATGTCGTTGATGAGGGTGGCAGGAAGGCATTGCGGAGACGGGAAGGCAATGCAGGCAATGCGAACCCTTTTTTCGGGAAGAGACAAAGAAAAAACTTGCAGCATGTCTCTGCTTTGCGTTGTGCAGCGACACGTCCAAGTCTTTCACCCGCAGACTGTAACTTGTTCTCGGGCTTCTCGTGTGCACTCGAAGACAACTTGCAACTGTTCGCAGCTTCCTTGTCTCACCTTCCGGAAAGAAGGCGCATGTCATGTCGGTCTATGCAGGCAGCAGTATCGTTTCGGACATGATGTGCTCAAATCAGGCAGCAGCTTACTAATAGTTGCTGTTATAATAGAGCAGTTGCAACTACACCTGCGACTTACTTTGGGTATTCTACGGGAGATCATTCCTGTAACTCTGTTTCTGGGAGTATCAGGTCTGACGCAAAGACAACGTCAGCCATGCCATGCTTGTGAGCCCGTGCCGAGCCGCGGGTGTCCTGGCTGCAGCATGGTCTGAAAGCTCTGGTCCAAAAGGCTCGGCTTTCAGGCTTCGCCAAGACTTGTAAGCTCCAGTTTCGCGATGCTCTCAATCCTTCAGGCCCCAAGCAAGCCAAACACCTCGGGGAAGACTACCAAAGCCTTTGACGGATAGTCAGTCAAGCACAGAGCCTCAGTACGCAACGGCAGATGGCGCCCCAAGCCTACCCGGACGGGACTATCTCAGCTGCTCAGGATGCGAAGTCGGTGATGCAGTCTGGCCACAAGCAGGGGCCTTGGCAGAGCCTCCAGGAGACTAGAACGAGAAAAGTAGCGAGGGAATCAAATGGAACCCCCAGGCAAAAGTCTTAGCCTGGCTGCCAGTGTAATTGCGGAGCCAGCAGCACCCATATCGTCATGGTCGTGACCGCCGTCCCGCCGATCATCATTATCATCAACATAATCGCTGCTTTCCTCCGTCATCATCAACACCATAAATCTCGTCACCGTCGTCCAATATGGCCGTAGAGCAGCTGATAGTAGTACAACTAGCAACATACGACTTATGCGCTCGATACTCACAAGTGCCCACAGTGTGCAGTACGGATCAGCGTCACCAGACTTAGAGTCATCTGAGAATTCAATGGAAGAATGTGCCTTCGTGCCGATGGTACCGTAAGCTCTCCATCACACAAGCTGAGAAGAAGAAGCCCAGGGGAGCAGCCATTGCTTTGATTTGCATGAGGTGTTGGCTTACTCAACTACTTGTTCGCTTTTGCTGGGCCTTCGAGGTGACATAAGGAAATACAGGCTCAAGGGGTCTCAGAGGCGCACTTTGACATGTCAGGCCGCAGCTACCAGTCGATCTAAAGCGTCCAGGATCAGCCCGCGGCCTACATCCGATGCAAGTTGTAGGATTCAAAGATTGCAGCCAGCGGCCTACCCTGTGGCCCTGGCCTTGCACCCCGAAGCCCTGAACCAAACAGTGTAATTACCTTGTGGAAGCGCAGAGGTCTGGGCTCGGCATTTTCCTTCCAGCAGATGATGGTACTTGTTAGCTTTAAGCAGACAGGGGCATTCGCCTGTCCGCAATTGAAGGTATGTTCTGCGTTCGGACTGTTGTTTTTTGCCGTTCCTCTGCTCATGTTCTGCCGCTTGCCTCTATTTTCTGGTTGCGATGCCAACGACGACTGCACCTGACGACAACCGCTAGGACGACAGCGACGACGAGCAAAGCCCACTATTCAGCTACATTCAACCGATACATCATGTCTAGAAATGTGCGTGGAAGCTGAGAACATCGTTCGTATCAATCCGAGCAGCCGCACCCTGGTGCTAATCTCCAAAGCTCAACGACGAACTCATCAAGCTTGTTGGAGTCAAAGACCCCGAACCTGCGTGACTTTTCATTTTGGTTTGCTAATCTGGGGCGTTGAGACTGACACCGTCTGAAGCAATGGGGCTTGCTGCCCCTGGCTATTGCTAGAAGCTCTGCATGTTCTCATCGCCAGCACTTCTGGGACTCATTTGGGTTCAGGCTTGTTGTTGTTTACTGTCTATACTCACTGCACTTACTACTGTAGCTAGTCTTGACCCGAAGAAGAATGTGTGGAGAGACACAGAAGAAGATTTACACTCGCAGTGTTATCAGGTACACTCACACCGTTCTTTCTATTGCAGTCCCGGCTACTAACCTTTTTGCTACGGTTGTTTGATTATGCCCTCGAAATTTCTCGAAATGAAATGGCCTTCTTGTTTCAGACAGCCAGCCACCGTATCTTGCTGCTGCTGCTGCTGCTGCTGATGTTACTCTTCTTGTTGTTGGCGTGTCATTATCTTCCTGGCCATTGGCATTCTCTTCGCAAGGCCACTGCGCTGCAGGCGGCATACACTGCAAATAGGCAGGCCCATTCAAATTCTAGCCAGTAGCGTGGGGGTCGGTTCGTAACACTGGGTGGAAGTACATTGAATGAATAGTCTGAGTGGGTGGCATCACATATATAGGTCTTGCCACGAAACTGAGCCTTGTAGCAATACATTCATGCGTGCACATAGTATGTAACGTTGGTCTTGGCAGAAACAAGAGCGTAAGTATCACAATAATGGCAAGGGCACTGCAAAATAAACTATTCCAGCGAACCGTAGCAGCTCCAAATGCAGCAGCAGGGGCAGCAGTAGCAGTAGTAGTAGTAGTAGTAGTAGTAGTAGGCGTAGATGTAGATGCAGAAGTAAAAGTAGAAGTAGAAGTAGTAGTAGCCGTAGTAGTAGTAGTAGTAGTAGTAGTAGCAGTAGCCGTAGTAGTAGTAGTAGTAGTAGTAGTAGTAGTGGTAGTAGTAGTTGTTGTTGTAGAAGAAGTAGTAGTAGTAGTAGTAGCAGTAGAAGTAGTAAGACTAATAGAAGCACAAGTAGAAGTA